CTTTTTAGTCTGAAATACTGAAATGAGAAGGGCGGAGAATGATGGAAGAAAAAATGAAAAAATGAATGGGGTAACCTTGTACTTTGTCAGTAAGAAGTTCCAGTGTCGCAGTGCTGGCTTCACTATGTACTCACTACATTCCGCAAAACTCATTCCATCCCATTAACGTACCCATCCATTTACTGCTTTACATGTAAAGAGGGAAATGTGAGAGTTTCGTTGAGAGAATGGGTTTTCCATATCACTACCTTTATCATAATCACAAACGTTTGCGGACGGACACACCGACATACCGACATACCGACATACCGACATACCGACATACACACAAACCGACAAACCGACACACCAAGTTTCCGCTTTATAAATGAGAGAGATATTTTACTTTGGCTTATCCTTCGGGATTGGTTCATTTTCGCAGATTTTCTCGCTCATCCCATCAGCGAGGTGCATCGACTTAACTTTTCTGTCCAAGAGAGTGTTCATCACGAGGTAAGTAATCTTTCGCCGAGCTTCATTGCTATTGATAGGTGAGCATCAAGCTGATGCCCTCAGTCTTTGATCTCACTTTTCTATGACGGGATTGAATGAAAATTTGTTTGAAAAGCTTTTCCATTTTCGAGCCTTTGCCTAAGCTCAGAAACTGGAGGCTCTCAAGTCTTCTCTCACTTATACATCTTTCCATGCCTCATTTCACTTCAGTCATTGAGTGCTACAAAAGATTAGCTCGCTCTAAATAAACGGTACTGCATGATGGAAACCAACAGCACATACATATCATGCCGTTTGATTTTGAGGCTTAGATTAAGGCCGCAGGGGCAAAGCACTAACTTAACACCCTGAGTAACCTTGATTGGAGTCAATAAACATGAGGGAGTAATCGATATGGTCAACGATTCCTTCAGAATGAACCAACAGAATATCTGTTCATCAGGTCTGGTTGTGCTCAACCCGTGTTCTCAGTGCGCGCTGTCCTTTTCGGAGAGATTTCAAGGGAGTATGTTACATTGGAAAATCACCAACTTTCAGTGTATACTCCACCAACGGAATAGAATGGAATCTTTTCTGAGGCGGCTGGCTGTTTTTGGGCTACTTTCTTCATACATTCATGCTCAGGATTACCCTGCTGATGATTATGATATGTCCTTTGATGGATATCCTTTCCACCAATCGGTGAGTAAAGCGAATCTAACTTTAGCCTAACGAGCAACTTATGCCATTACTTGGTCGTGAGTACGTTGGTGTAACGACTCTTCAGCCTTCTGTCGCAAAGTCGCAGAATCGTGAAAGTAGCTGGCTAGAGTGAATAGCTGGTCTTGAGACTTTAAAATGAACGGATTCAAATCAAAAGTCGCTGAAACCTTCAGTGTTTCCAGTATCCGCACAGCATTGATCGCCCTTCTCGTCCCTATCCTCCTTACAGCCGACGCGATCACCGTAAATTCGGTACCAGCAATAGGGGTACGTCATTTTTCCTCTGACTTGAGAAGTTGTTCACTGATTAACATCTGAAAGTAAACAAAAACAGCTAGCTATNCTATAGGACATTGCAGGATCTCGAGATTGCCATAGCTGCAAAGAAATCGAAAATGCTTGTTCCACGTCTGCTCCCGAGGACCAGGTCAAATGTGCCAAGCCGAGTGTTGTGTGAGTTCGGGAAATTCCTAAATTTGCAAACAACTTACTTCACCAGTAGTAACTATTGTGAGAATCATATTACCTTTCATTTAATCCTCCTTCTTACAACTATCGTTTTGTTCAATGTTCTGATTGCCAGGGTCACTACCTAATAAAATGATTTCCGCTAATCCCGCCTGCCCCCATGCTTCAAAATTCTAGTCCTTCCGATGTCACCATCATCAAAAAATCCCAAGCAAGAAAAATAAAACTACATGGTAATACACCTTCAGACTTGCTGTTCGCAAATCAAGGACAGCACGTAACTCTACATCAGCTAGATATCCTGTCTTCTACCTCCCGAACTACAGGCCCATATGTATTCGTCACTTCGAACAGCTTAAACTGGCGTCAGTGGTAGGGTCGATAAAAGCGAACTCATTTTCGACCATCAGCTATCGAGCGGTGTAATCTGTATGGGAGCTAGTAATTAGACCAATCGAAACTTCCATCATTCGCCACTCAGATTGCGACCCCTCAAGCCTCAAGGACTCTCCTCTTTTTCATGATGATCCTAAATGGACCGGCTTCCCAGGTTTGATTGGTTTGAAACGTAACTTCTGTGCGAATGGTGCAACCTCTACAGCTTTTACACGCTTGAGAGCTCATCTACCTTGGGTGTGTACGTCGACTAAGCCGGATTTTGGGGCACTTATCACGCTCTATTGGGCCGTTATTCGGGAGAACAGTGTCCGTTGTGCTGTCTTTGGAATTCACTTCCATCTTATAAACAGACCTCAGAAAGCATTTTCATCGTGAATGTACCTTTAACGTGACATGACACCTTACCAACGCCTGCTGTGATCTGCCGCACGCATAAACGCTGCATTTATAGCAGATATCGAAGGCATTGTCCATGTGAGGGACAATGAAGGAGAAATTATATCACCGTGAAAAGAGCAGGTGATCCACAAAAGTTGAGCTGAAATGATGAATGATGGATTAGATCTCACTTTCCTTGAATCACGTAACCTAAATTAAAAAAAGGTTTGGCTCGCCAGCCACGAACGAGGCGATTAGTTTGGTATCCTGATATCCAATCCAATCCACCATTATATTTCAGATACACCGCGGTAAAATGTCTTTATGCCAATGTCAAATGTGAGTATGCAGACCACTACAATGTTAGACTGGAGACACCCAGTGGACAAGTTTTGGCAATCGGAGAACAAAGCGAGACAGTGGCTAAGTGCCGAAATGGAAAGTGAGCATGCGTGGCATTTGAGATTTTTGAGGAAAACCAGGAGAAGTGCTTCCCAGAGTTGATGTAATAAACGGGATACTTTCCATGATGGTCAAAAATGATAACATTGAGTCTGTAAATGACAAGCGTGTTTGGCAATCAGTAGGTCTCTCACCGGTAGATGTGTCTGAGTTCTTCTCAAAAGAGCACGGAGGACACATACATAGGAACCTGAAAAACCTATTAACCTGGACCGCCTCCTTTTTTCATAGCGCAGTTTGTCAGACCTTGAGGATTGTTCTGTTAGGAGAAGATCGTATTTTCACAATGCGGTCAGTGGATTAGGCAGCTTTTAATGGCAAGGAGCGTCTCTGTACATTCTATGTGACAATAGCTCCGACCTGGACCTTTATACTATTGTAGCAAAGAAAAAATATTATAAACATTTTATTTTGACTAGCAGGCTCTTTTTTATAAAACCTAAAGTTTGGGGTAAGAAATTCCCTACAGAGTAGCAGCTATGTCCCATCCCTCCTCAACCGCTCACTTAATTTCTAGGTACATTTGCGCACTGATGATTTTTTCCTTTTTTGCGAATAAAAATGAAATGCATTTATTAACCCGAATGGCACTGGCTTGAAAGCCGATACCTCCCAGAAGTAAACACACATCTTTCTGTGGGAGTCTAACCTACGAGATCCACGCACAATTAATATATGGGTCCAGGTGGGGAAAGAAGTCCTTTTTATCAAATTCGTTTATCGAGAACTCTGTATGTGCATCTCTATTATTTATAAAGCAAAAAGGTGGTGTGTCGGTGTGTCTGTGTGTCGATTTGTCGATCTGTCCGTCCGCAAAACTTTATGACTACGATAAAGGAATTAATATTGAAAACTCAGCTCCATCCAGCATTTCCTTCTTATATGTAGCAGTAAATCGATGGGTAGGCTAATGGAGCGAGTGCTGCAGAATGTAGTGAGTGTGGAGTAAGGTGAGCACTTTGACACCGTACTTTGATTGACACTGGCATGTTGTCATGTTTATCTGTACAGAATTTGGAATTTGGCTACTCTATTCATTGCTCTTTCTCCATTCTCTACCCTTGTCATTTCGGTCTAACAACGCGCAGTGGAAGTCCTTTCTCTCGCAAGGCGAAGTGAAAATGATGGCTGACCCGAACTTTCTTTTGAATTTAGCAAATGAACATATTTGACACTACATATCGAGTTTTAGTGGTTCTGGGGTTCTGGGGGAGGGGTGGAAGGTAGAGGAGCAATTGGGCTGTCGAAAAGAGGAAGGGCAGTGGCCGGCCAACACTGCAAGCCGCATGGAGGGGTTGCGGCTCCGGATACCAGCTTAGTAGGTCCGCCAACCTCTTGGGGTGCCCAGATAATACAGGCAGCTGCGGGTAAGGGGCCGGCTAGGGGGAGAAATTTACAATAGCAATGATAAAAAAAATATTGCCTTTTCTCTCTTCAGCATTTCTGTAAAGAGAAATATCATTTGCTCGGGATCTCATGATCTTAACACTATTGATCGATAGACCCTTTCTTCGTTAGCATCGCTCGCTCAACGCCTTCTTTATGACTGACCGATCTGATTAGTCAGCCGAAAGATTTTGAATGGTAGCTATTATTGTTTTCAACTGTTATAATATCAGTATCAAACGACCACGACCAATTTCCATATTTTGGTGGTCGTATTAGTTTCCCTGCAACTGATACTTTGCGGTGCATAATATTTAAAGATTGGAAAAGAGTGGAAAAAGATTACTTTTCGTTGCAACTTTTTGACTATGCAACTTCCTTCAAGTTCTTAGCAACATTTTTACACTTTTCAAGCCGTTGCATATTAGATTGGACGATATGCATAGTCAACCAAGAAAAACAGCACCTGAAATCTGATCAACCCGTTTTCTACTGCAAAATTATCTAATAATAAGTGCAGCTTCCTTTCTTCAGAATAAGCTTGAAGATCCGATCCGGCATCGAATTCCAGAGCTTCTTCAGAAGAAGAGGTGACGGACATTTCCACTCCATAGTTATGGCTCTTCTCAACGATTCAACATTGTCATACACTTTACCATTTGCATAGATCTCACATAGTACATCCCAGATATTTTTGATGGGGTTGGGGCCCGGGCTGTATGCAGGCCATGACAATAACGGGATATTATTGGACTGCGAATAGGATAGAGTACTCTACGCAGCGTGAATCGCAGTGTTGTTTTGCAAGAACACGTAATTCTTGTTGGTGTTCTTCTTGATAAATGGCACCAACGCTCTCCCAAAAAGTGACTGGTAGTCTTGGCTTGTCATTTTATAAGACGTGAATTGTGTACCAACGGTGATGTCGCCACAAAACGCTCCTCAAACCATCAACGAGAGGCCGCCGAAGCTCCTTCGGGACCTAAGTAGTTGTTCTTTTCGTATATCGCGCTAATTCAAGTTTTTCCGTCTGGCCCATTCCCGTTGGATTCTTCTCATCAGAAAAAATAACCGAAAAAAAGACAAACGTAGAAAACTCAAATTTCTCATAAAGCTAAGCAAGTTTCAGAACAGACCTTTGTCCGATCTCTATTCATCTCATTCCCAGCGAAGGAGGGCCGTTCCGCTCGATGACTCTTTGTTAGCCGTGGTGCAGCCTTCATCTTTTGTGAAGCTATGTGATCGGACGATTTCAGGACGCGAGACAACCCATTTTGAAACCGAAATCCCATAATATGCAGCTCACTCCCTCGCCGTTCTCGTAGAGTTTCATGCCATATTGATCAACCGACGCTTGTCGCGGTCAGAAAGAGTTGGTTTTCGTCCTGGCTTCTCCTTCGAAACATTTGTTGACTGCTTCTTTACGACACTTGCAACTGTACCCTTAAGAATGTGGAGTTCGCTAAAAAAATTTGAAGATAACTTTTTCCAAGGCGACGTAACGCGCTATTTCGAATCCAGTCTTCGTTCGTAAATCGCGTGTACCTGCGCATGCTTAATAAACAAACATGTGAGTATGTGCAAATTACAGATACAGGGGAGGAAAAGTCGAAAAAATCAATTACCATAGGTCGTTCAATCTATTGTGCACCGCAAAATAATCAATATTGCCCCGCCAGAATTTTTCAAAGGCACTGTCACCTAGTGATTATCGCGCCAAAATCATTTGACCCCCTCTACACTTAACATGTCTGCGGCAAACATGTCTGCGGCAGAAGCATCAGAAGTTTCGGCTCCTCTCAAAAATTAGGTTTTTTAGAGGGTGCAATCTATTGCGCACCGCAGTGTATATGAACGAAGAAAAAACGCGATAATCAACGAGTCACAAACATCCGTACATGTTTGTGGAATGATAACAATAAGGTCCAGCTTATGTTCCCTTCACATGTTGCTGAAATTAATTAGTAATTTATCTTCTCTTCTAACCAACACATACTGAACTTTGGCGTGATTGTAAAGGTGTAGATAAAAAAGAACAAGTATATAGGACAGAGATGTAGGGTAAGGATAACTGGTAGATGAGATCATAGCACCGTTTGCTCACCAGTTTTTTTCCTGTCCTGTGTTAAATTTTGTGTACAGGAAACTGTCATTTGTTTGAAAAAAGGAGTGGGGAGTTAGATTTACTACAACTTTATCAAAGAAGGAGGGAAGCTTTCTATTTCTGTTGTGTCGAAGACAGATTTCGAGCTCTCTTTCAGTTTCATACGTTCACTGAGCTAAACAGTGGAAAAAATTGAAACTCAGGTAAACAGCGGTAAAAAAACTCAAAAACTGTAAACTTCGAAAAGGGGAAAAATTCTTCATTTCAACATTTCTCGGGATAGGGTGTTTGACTGGTATGTATATAATTGATCATGGTCAATCAGGGTTTAATGATAAAGTAATTTGTCATTCAATCACTCACCCTCGAATCACATTAGGACTTCATGCAATAGTAGGTTATGTGAAGCTTTCTTGGCCGACTCTGATGCCAGTTGACCATTTCCCCTTCACTTCTTCCCTCGTGAGTTTGAAAACACTGATCTTTTACAACTTCAAGGGAGTGAATAGAGTAGAGCGAAATCGCTCAGGCCTCTCTAAATCATCTGTCTCGGAATCTAATTGCCGTTCACCACTTTCGCATTGGAGCAACACTGTGAAAAATTGGCACTATTCACACTTTTCTGCCCCACTTTGTCGAAAATGAGCTGAATTTCTATCGACTTTTTTCAAGAAGATGAAACCGACTGGAAACTTGCCTAGAGAGGTAATTCGGCCCGTAGAACACGAATATCGCATCCACTCGCCATGAAACTTCGTACTTCATACTTAGGGGCAAGTTTTCAGCAAGATTGGTGACCTAGCTCCATTTGGCGCCGCTGCCTATGGCGCGAGCACTAGGCATCTTTATGACGAATGAATCCGATATTCGTGTTCTACGGGTCGAATTACCTCTCTAGGCATCTTTCTAGTCCGTTTCATCTTTTTGAAAAAAAATTCGATAGAAATCCAGCCCATTCTCGACAAAGTGGGGCAGTAAAGGATAAGTAGTGCCGAAAAATTAATAAGATTTTCCACCAATATTGGGAAAGAGAGGGTTGGCATGCTAATAGTATGTTCTAATTGAACATAATTCTTCAGAAGACGGTCAAAGAGTGTTTTTGACATTGTACAAGAACACATCAATGACCCCAAATGAAGAACATACATGGTAAATAAAAAAACAATTGAAAATACTAGCACGAAATTGATAAAATAACACGATTCAACGAAATAAAAAATAAAGAAGAAAAATTCACAGTAAAAACATGAATATAATCAAATTTACTTACCTTTTTGTCCCGGCGAATTGATCCTGCAGCGTAATTCAACTTAATAGCAGCAGGAGAATAATTAGCCCTAACGAAGAAGTCAAAATCAGCTGTTTTGTTGTGTTGTGTGGAACAGGGAGGAGCGGTGGGTTTAGAGCGATGCCGTTCGGCAAGTAAATAATGAACCACCTCATTGGAAGCTGTGCCTGGGTTTTTCCCGAAAGAGCATGGAGTATACATAGGAACCTGAAAAACCGGTGAACTTGGGAACGCCTCCTTTTTCCATAACACAGATTGTCGGACCTTTAGGATTGTTTTAAAGGGAGCAGAATGCATTTTCACAATGAAGTCAGTGGTTCAGGCAGCTTTCAAGGGCAAGAACCGTCTCTGTACATTCTATGTGACGATGGCTACCGACCTGAACCATTATTGTTTTGTAGCTAAGAAAAATTTCATTTTGACTAGGTTCTTCTTTACAGAACCTAAAGTTTGGGGTAAGAAAGTCCCTGAAGAGCAGCAGCAACCTCCGATCCCTCCTCAACCGCCCCTTCATTGTTAAATACATTATGTGCGGGCCTTTGCACATTGACGATTTTTCCTTTTTTGCGAATGAAAATGAAATGCATTCATTAACTCGAACCGGCTTGAAAATCGATGCCTTTCATAAGCAAACACAATTCTTTCTACTGGGAGCTTAACTTACGAGATCCACGCACAATTAACACATGGTTCCAGGTGGGGTAGCAAACCTTTTTACCAAAAGAGTTTATCGAGAACTATTTATGTGCATATGTACATAATCGATTATGGTAAGGGTGTAATGATAAAGAAATTTGTCACTCAGTCACTTACCCCCGAATCACATCAGAGCTTTATGCAGTAGTAGGTTATATGAGGCTTCCTCGACCGACTCTGATGTCAATTGACCAATTTCCTCTTCATTTCTTACCTCGTGAGTTTAAGAACACTGATCTTTCACAGCTACAAGGGAGTGAACAGAGTAGGCTAAGACCACTTAAGCCTTTTAAACTACTCTTCCCTTACGGAAGCAAAGAAAATTGAAAAAGGCTCGAGCTCGAGGTAGATATGAACCTGTGATGTTCATTGAAGACTGGCACACATTTTGCAACATATTCAGGTGGATGTCAAAGGACTCGCGGAACACGAAAGTCAAATTCAACAGTCTTCGATGTATTCCTACAGAAGGCATGCGATTTTCATTTTTACGGTGCATAGATGTCTTTCAGCACCTCCAAATCAAAAATAAGTTCCAATCCACAGATGGATCGTACAGCAATGGTTGAGAATCAAACCCGCCCGCATTACGTAATATGACAATCCCTTCCACGCTTGCTTGCGAGGTTTCAGGGAAGAGCTAAATTCTTTACACTTTTGAAAAAAAAGAGTTCACACAGTTTGATAAAGCTGGGATCGAGTAAAGATAACGACAGAATACTGAATCTCATAATGGGTTCAGTTTTCCTGTACGTACAGTTTCTGAAAAAAAAATTGAGGCCCATAGAAGGAAGTTTCTAGAAAGACTACTATCCCCGTAATGAAATAGTTTCATAGCTTTCAACAGGAAACATAAACGCTGATCGCAGTTCGACCATTGATGAGGATTTGACACAAAGGAAAATGGTATAATCTGTGCAGGCTGTTATTCCAATAGGCATTTCCTTGAGGAGAATTGTGTTCAAATTCTGTTGTGCAGTCCAGTGGGATATGGGAAGGTAGTAGTGACATCAAAAAGCTTACGCTGAGCTCCCTAGTGTTGATGATGATGTCGGAGAGTCATGCTCTAGCCTAGAGTTTTATCTTTTTCTTGAGAAAGTGTTATGTGTGGTCCATTGAAGGCACAATTCACGATGAAACGGTTTCTGAGATTTTCCTATGATATGAATTTCAGGCTTCCTCTTATACCCTACCTGCCGTTATAAGGTCGAAAAACAAATAAGGGGACAGAGATTGTGTCGTGTAAACGCCACACTCATAGTGGACGAACTTCAGCGGCTTTGTAGAGTCTGCACTATCTCAGGGGACTCCCATGTGGGAGGTTTGAACAAATTTTCATTACTCAAGGCGACAATGAGAGGCAGTTTCGAACAAATTCGGCTTGGTGTAGTCATTTCCTTGCAATGGGAGCAAGTTAAATCCCGTCCCAACACCCCTTATATGCCATTCGCATCACGGCGATCTCGTACAACCTCCACTCCCACTACTTTTTGAAATCCCTGAAGGAGGCGGATTTAATCGCTTCCTTCGCTACCGATGTACTTCTCCACATAAAGACTTCCGCTTTCGAACCTAAAGAGGGTACCTCAAAGTCATCGTAAACTGTGCCTTCAACAGTAGCACGAAGCGATGGAAAGGTTAACAACCACATGCTCTACAAATGTACGGGTTACTACCTGAGCAAAAATTTCTCGGAGCTGACAATAATCGACTGAAGCACTTTTGGGATTATAAACCGACTCATTCACTTCACCGCATTATGATTTTTGTACTATTTTCCAAACAGAATAAGATTCAGGAAGGAAAGTGAGCCGGCCTTGCAACCACAGTCTTGACATGGGCGACAAACCTTGTGACCGAGATGCGACTATTAGAGTTAGTAAACAAAATCGTTTCTTTCGACTTCTAGATTGAAGGTAACCTATATGCCTTTTGAACTTGCCCACATCTTCACAAGGTCTAGCGTCTGTCCTGTACAAAACTTGTTCAGGAAAAATTGAGGCATTGGTTTCATCAGCAGTTTTTCTTCGCAGTGGTTGTAGTAATTCCAAAAAAAAAGTGCCATCTTGAATTTGACTAGTGTTCTTTCAATTGACACATTCAGATTAGCTTTAAAAAAACTTTGAACATTTTACTATTCTAGCCCTTTACAAAGAGTATGGTCAATAAATAATCTATTCGAAAGACTTATAGGTGGCTTCTGGTATAGAGAGATGGTTCTAATGATCACTGACTTTTCAAATTTTAACACCGAACTTCTGCAGTTCCTCTTTTCAGTATCATTTTGATGCGGAAACGGGAAGATGTTTACCATTTAAATACACAGGATGTGGGGGAAATGCGAACAATTTCGATTCCAAATCCGACTGCTACCTCGAATGTGCGCTAAGTAAGCAGAAAGGAGCTTCGATCTTCTCAAAACACTGAGAATTCGTCTCAAAACGATGTCATTACCTTTACCTGTTAAGTGGACCGTGTGAGTTGTCCAGTAAATTCGCCTCCCACCCTCAGACCCGATGGTAGTGCTTATTGCGATAGGGAAGAAAGAAAGTGTCCTGAAGGTTCATATTGCAAATATGGAGATATGTATGGCATCTGTTGCGATATCAAAATCCGAGGTGAGTACCAATGCAGTAGGAAGGACCTATGTCCTTTTGGGAGAGAAAGGGAACTTTTTCAGAAAAATATAATGCGAATATAAGACCGGACTGCGGTGACAGAAAAATCGTGCTGGAAGATGAGGGCGATCCCACCGTAAGTTTTTCTGCTAGAACGCCCATAATTTAATACATCAATAGCCGAATTACTCGGCGAATGTTCGTTTTTTTCCAGTTGGAGGTAAGACTGAGTAGAGTCGTTAACGGCCAACATTTTAAAACTGCGGTTGGAAAGTTGTGGCTCAACCGCAGCTTGAACAGTATTTTTTGACATACAGCCACGGAAAGTAGGAGCTTGAAACGTTTTAGGAGCTGAAGAGCTTTTTAAGCAGACATATTTTTTCAAGGACATGACCTAGATTCCCCAGGAATTATTGATCTACTCAAAAAGTGTTAAGACATCATCCATGCTCTCAAAAAAACTTCAAGATCTCTCAGTTGCTTTGATCCTTCGAATGTTATTTTTCCGATAAAGGTAAAACGGAAAACAACATCAAAGTCCGAACTTCGATTTTTTTTGAAAAAAAAACTATCGCGGAGCACCGTGAACCTGAGTTACTATTTATAATTCGATCGATAACTTTTAAGGGTCGGATGTGAATGTTAAGGACGCTGGCTCGCGTCTTATCTCATGCTTCATCAGGGGACGCAAGGCAGCGCCTTCGATATATAAACTGTAGGATGGCTCATAACCATGTTCTTACTCTTCTTTATAATAAGTCTCTTTCATGTCTCTTGTCACGCTTTATGACTCTTTTTACGCTCAATGGCTCTTGCTAAGCTTTATTACTCTAGTTACATCCCGTTACCCTTGTATCCTCTGTAACTCAATGTCACTTAAATTTGTTACTTTTAGTTGCCCAAGATGTCATGTCTCTTTTTGCTCGGTGTCAGTGTATCTTAAGAATTTGACTCTTGTTGTTGGCTGTTGTTTACTATGGGTTTGGATATCCAAGTTTGAGGTTCTCGTCCTTTGGTTAAAGTGCTAGACTCTGCGTGATGTGGTTCGAATGTCCAAGCGAGCTCTGTGTCTGCCACAACCGAGCTCTATATCCTATGGTCCTTTACAAAAACTTCGACCACGATCAGAAGTGAAGAATAAAAAAGAGCCCGATATCTTCTCCTGAAAAATGACGTCGAGCGCGCGCCGGCCGGCGGACTATGAAAAAAGCCAGTTGCGCGGTATGAAGGGAAAGGTTCAAATTCTCAGCGGAAGGATAGGATAGCGGACACGTGACCACTGTCATGTAGGAATTTGGGGAGGAGTTCCGTAGAACATAGCTTTCTTTCACGGCAGTAGCCAGGCCCTTTACATTGGAATGACGCATTAGTTTTTATGAGGCTTCGAATTCAAAAAATTAAGGGCTTACTGTAAAGGCTCAGCTTACGAAAAAAGTATTTTCTCAGATTTTCTCATAAGATGAGTTTGACCCTCTCCTCATGCCATATGCGCCGATATTAAGTCGAGGAACGCAGTATGGGGCACAATGAGGGCCAGACATTGCATCGTGAGATTGCCACACCTAGTGAAGCGGGCGAGTTTCTACGACCCTGCTAAGGCTCCATTAGCTTCAGAGACTCCCGTGCTGGCAGTTCAAACAACTCATCATGACCCATGGCGATAGTGGAGGACAGTTTTAGACAATTTCGACTCGATTTAGCCGTTCTCTGCGCAAGTGCAACAACTGTAATCTCGCTCGAATGCCCTTACATGTCATTTCCGCCGTGGTCGTCTAGTACAACCTCTATTTCTCTTTCTTTTAAAAAGTTTTTTTTGTTAATTGAGTGTATTTTTTCGCTTTCTTCGCCATCGATGCTCTAATCTCAATCATCGCTTCCGTTTTTCAACCTGAAAAGGGTATCTCAGAATTTCCGTGAAATATGCTTTCAAGTGCTTTACGGACAATATTATTTCAGAGGGTGCCTTTTGTAGTGCATTCTACTTTGAGTATTATTTAATGTGAGTTCATTATTTGTGAAGGAACGGAGAGGGAAGAGTTGCACTCTCTATGCTTATCAAGAGTAAAAACTGGAAAAACTAGACGAATCAATGTAACTGGAATTCATTGTTCGCACAATATGTGTAAAAAATTAATATTTCAGAGCACCATCCTTGGGAAGTCTTGTGACCACCAGTTCTGTCCGCTAGGGGCCGAATGTCATCGTGGCACATATTTCGCCTATTGCTGTCAGTAGCCACCTCTGTTCGTGTTGCCAATTTTTAACAGTAAAGTTTGAAGAATATGTTGTGCTAAACTTTAATGACATGTTGGTTACCTCTAGAAATTATTGAGAAGGTGCAACTCCGTCATCTGGCTATAACAATTGAATACAATCACTGAGCCATTTCGCCTTTATCCACGACGTCCCTCTGATGGCCTGATCATCACTACCTATTTATTAATCCATTTCCACAAGAGTTTAATTTTTAAATGAACACACATTAGAGTGTCAGGATTTTCTTCAGTATTTTCGTAGCCAGCTGAGGACGGGGGCGTTCGATTCGTGCGATTCTGTGTGCGCGCGGCAAATTGTGCGGCGAAATTCGCGATGATTCAAACAACCCTGAAGCCTATCATTAGGGCACAAATTTGAAGTAGAGTACCTTATTAGAGTCGGAAAATCCTACTAAGCTACTTTACGTGAAATTCGGGGCCCAATGATTAACGCTGCAGTCGCTCAAGTCGCACCGAATTCCGCCGCACAGCCGCGCGCACCCAGTATCGTATGAATCGGTACACACCCGCTGAGGACAGGCCCGCTTCTTTTTACGAAGTTGGCGAGTTATGTACAAAACTTCTGCCTCAGACACGACTCGAATATTTTTTATTATCCGGGCACAGTACTCTTATCTACTATACTACAGAGACCCCGATTGACTCGCTGATAACATCCGCCCAAGTGAGATGTCTTGTCCAGGAGATCGGGAGCCATTGATTCGAAGCGAAACGCACACACTTATACACTTTAGGCATGTCCCGCCAGACATGAGTGGAGTCCTGTCCAAGTCCCGTATGTTATGTGTGAGTCAGTTCATTCCCCATTCACCCGAATTGACAGCGTATTTTAACACAGATTAGGCTCACTCCGCAAACCCTCCACTCATCCGCCCCACTACGCCTTTACCTATTCTTTGCTCTCGCCCTGTGTTCGAAGTCCGCTCCTGCCAATTACCATCGGCATTCTATTGCTGCCTCCAAACCAAATTGAATCGCCAGGGTATAAATTACAATCTTTGCGCACTTCTCGCTCCCTGTAGGCCTAGTCCAGTCCTACTACTCACCATCAGTGTTCTCATCCTGCCACCTCTACAACTAACGAATTTGAACTTTAAAGGCACAGGTCAGGAGAAGGTGGTTCCGGAGATTTGCATATAGTTTGAATTCGAAGCCCCCTCTGATACCATTTGTGCAGGAATGAAGTCGAAAATCGTTAGAATAGGGCACAATTAGGGCAGGAACATTGGGGGACGTAAGGGCTCCGCCCCTCGCTAGGCTGACTACGCGTTCGAATTTTTCTTCACCACTTTCGCATTGGAGCGAAGTTGGTGGAAAATCGATACGCTGATTGGCAAATTGCCAGGAATGGTCAGCTGGTCGATCGCCTCCTGGTATTAATATTCGGCTGCATTTCAACTGACTGGCTTCAACTGAGCATAAATCTTCAAATGAAAGTCAAAGAGTGTTCTTGACATTGTACAAGAACACATAAATGACCCCAAATGAAGAAAATGCGTTGCAAATAAAAAAAATTGAAATCCTAGCATGCATTTTATAAAACAACGTACTATATGGAAACTTAGGTACATTTAATCGTAAAATTATAAATATAAGGGAATTTACTCACCTTTCTGTGCAGAATAACTGAATAAAAATAAAAGTTCAGCGAAATATCAGTTGGGGAATAAATAGTGTCAAGAATCTAGTCTAAATCAGCTGTTTGGGTGTTTTGTGTGCCATTGCACACATGGCGTCGCATTCATGTACTTCCGCGAAAATTCACTTAACCACCGTTTTCCCATTATGACTCTCGTCCAACCACTTTTTCCTCTTTTTTTTCGGCCGTTTGCTTCCCTTTTTTTTCACTGTTTTTAGCCTTTTATGCTTTACCATTGTCCTAGTGTAGGCCTTACCTACCACTATCTCTAAAATACCGGATACCCCCAAAATTGTCCTGAACTGTGCCTTTAAGGTCTTACCAGTTAGTGGCCAAGGATCTATCGTTCCGAGGTGCTGCAACAGTGATGGCACATGCATTAGTCCATTCGGTAAGACTTTTGGACTGACACACTTTTCTTGTTGTAGTGAAGGCAATTTAACATCAGTATTTAGCGAGCGACCTGTGCCAGTTTTGAAGGAGAGCCCACCCAATTACGATATCGTCTCGGCGTGCGCTCATAGCTCGCACTCAAAAAGTCAATATTCAGACCCTGTTTCATCATCTTGAACACGAATTCTTAGCTGAGATTCTGAGATAAATGACAGTCAAGTCGATCTTCTGGAAATTGACACAGAAATGAAAAAACGTGATCCCCTATTGACATGCAAATACTGAAATCGTAGTCGCTGGGATTATGACGAAAGGAATGCTCACGTTACATTCTTGCCAAATGATCCTTGTCATTGCACGTTTCTGTCACTCTATCGTCACGTATTATATAATACTATGGAACATCCTACTATATATAATGCGCTAATCTGTTTGTGTGTGTGTCGATGTGTAGTCCAACCGGAAAATCATTGCTCCTGTTCCCGTAGGCCTGGAACGTTCAAATTTGGTACGAGTATAGGGAACAAGATGGGAACACTTATGATGCATGGCAGGATCGAACTCCGCCCACAGGTGGCGAGGTTTGTGCAGAGTAAATGATTGACCTCAGATACATAACTCGTGTTCCTTTAGACCAAGAGACTTGAAATTTGGTGGATGATGTAGGATATGACGGGATCGTAGAAACTAGGTGGCAGAAACCGATGTTCCTCACTATACATAAAGCGCTCGCGTCTGTTTGTCTGTTCGAACGGAAATTCACTATTACCTGAAGAAGCACCTGGAAAGTCGGGTAAAACTCGAGACGGATTGGGTATAGGACAACACTAACAGAGCACATGTGAGCTCAGCGGAGTTCCGCCCACAGAGTGCGTGGCATGCACGACAGTGGGCGGTGTCTTGAGCAAAATGTCTGAATCAGGTTTCATAACAGCCCAGACGGAAAAACATGTGCATAGGTGAGAGATGGGTCAACAATTAAAATAAAGGAAACTAACGGGAGGTGGCGTTCTCGCAGTGTGAGGTAATTACCACGCAAGATCGTAACTCGACTAAACGGAATCGCGAAGATTAGCAAAAGTAAGTGAAGTGTGCAAGGCCTTACGTATGCGAAGTTCCTATTTTTTCTTTCCTATTCTTACGATTTTGTCAGCGTAAGCTAAGCTTTCATGATGATTTATGTAATGACGACTCACATTACCCTCAATTTACAAACTATATTGACCTATAATAGCTTCATATTGGTTTGCATATTAGAGCCAGGATTAAGTTTGATGAGAAGCTGGTAACCAATTTCAAGTAGGGAAGAGCTGAGCTGGAATTCTAATCTGTATGCTAGGCGGGTCGAAGCCAGTGCGTTCCGGTCGTGCCGCCCCGGTTCGATAGGAAGTGTGTTGTGAAGAAATAAGATTTACGGTCGATGTTCCAGTAAATGAGAGCGTAAAAAGCAAAAGGGTGAGCGCCTCACTACCTTTTCGGACCTCCTTCTAGTAGCCTTTTCACAAACCGACACATGTAACTCTGAATGTTTCTGTGGCTATTGAGTATAGTCAGCGTAGATTTCGACGTAAACACGTTTTCCCTCAGATGCGCTACATTCGACGCTACGGGATTACGACCCTTTTCCGATCAAATAAGCTTTCTGTTGCAATTGCAAAGAAGTTTTAATTGCGAGTGATGGACGTCATAGACATTGTATTTTATAAGTGTTATGGAACAACCTAATAGAATATGTTGGAGTTTTTACGTATTTCTTGCATGTTGATATCTTCGCTTAACAATTTCTCCAAATGTTGCGGAGGGAAGGTTTATTTCATTTCAAACTCATTCTGTACGAGCTTACTTTGAGAAGTTGATCCTCATCATGAGAAAAGCTCGAATTCAGGAGCAGAAGAACTTCACGGCACCACACAGTTCGCCAAAGGTAATGAAATACAACAATTCCCACTATTTCTGGCAAATTTAGCAACGTGTCAAAGCTTCTACTTTACAAACTATCAAAAAAAAAGTGCAGAGTCCGAGTGTACCATAAGCTGCGAGCTAGTGATAAAATGCGGTCTTTTGGAGCACCTATGCATGGTGCACAAGCTCGATATGGCAGCAGCGAAACCGATACTATCTCATACTAAGAAGGCCGAGTTGGAATCAAAAGGGAAACGAATGGAGAGCTGCAAAATTGTTTTGATGGCGTATTTTTGAACACGAGAGGCTTAAAGCTACACCTCAGCTTGGAGCATCGAGATGCATCGGATTCATTCATAGCTAACTGAGGACCAAACTCAGGCAGAGATGACATCAAAGAGTTGAAAGTCCTATGACGGAATTAAGCGGATTCTTCCCGACATCGCACCGAAAGCGTTGTGCTCAGACGAGGCCATTGCGTTTTACAGATGGTCCAAGAGGACTGGTCCTGAAACACAACACAGAGAAATTTCTTCGCAGATTTCACAGTCTTGAAGTCTTGGAAAGAAGCCGACGAATGCGTCAAGGTAAAGTACTAGGTAAGGAAAGAGTCGTAGCTACTCCTTTCAAGATTTTAGGCGAAGCATCAAAAAAGAATCATCAGAACCCTGAGAGAGCATTTTAGAATCGGTGACATCAAAAAGAAATCATCAGAGCTTCAAGAGAGCATCTTAGAATCGATAACGGAGCGCAGTCAAGGGAAAGGGCAAGGCGTAACATAGGGACAAAAAAATTCGCTCAACACACTAGAGTGGGGTTCCAGGCAGCTAAGTGAGGAAAAAATCCAATTTCTAATAGTCGGTAGGATTACTGTGTCATGCTCCAACAACAAGCACAACAAGAATTATGTTTTGGTCATCCCTTATTGTTACATTATGACTACGGGAATTATGTATTATTCGCGCGATGTACGCCTCGTAATGGATCCACAACAAATTTATGAGGTACTAAGGGGCATGTTTGACCTTGATCAAAGAAGCGGAAGGGTCAGTTTTGGTTATCGAGCTTCTCCCCGACTGATTCAGGCGATCAGGCCACTGTGATATGTAATGGATCATTTGTTCGTTCTAGAAGCTCAAATATCCTTTAATCATTCTCCTATACAAATGATTTGCACGCTGCGGCTGCGATAATTACTCTCAAGAACTGCCACAGTGCTTGAAATATAATAATGAATCAAACGACGATATCTCTTTTCGTAATTGCCTCTACAGCAAACACATAATACACAAGATTGGTTTAGCACGCACAGTGGCAAGGTTATAGAATTCATCTGAGTTTGTGCCCTACTACCAATACCCCGATCACCACTAAACTAATCGTAAAGCGAAAAACGATGGCGTAGGTTCCGCAAAGAGCTAAATTCAAACAGTGGACAGCTTGCCGAAAATTTCGCTCTGCATTCTTTCGTGGTCTAGGTTTAGGCAACAGTCGAATTTTTTCCAAACTCGAAGGGCCGGCTTTCGATTCGACTCTGCGGTTACTGTCAATCCCATCGTGAATTATGTAATATTCTCTACAAATCTCATAGTTCTTGGAAGCGGTTGAAGAAACCATTTGTGCGTTTCACGTTCTGATCGCAGGCTAATAAATAAACGATGAGGTGAAAGAGCACGAATCATGATCCGATTTAGTGACTCGGTAAAAATATGATTTTTGCGAGTTCAAGTAAGTGATCACGTAACAAGAAATGGCAACCAACTTTTCTCAGTGATTCTCTAAATATTGAAGTTCTTCTCGGCAACGAGTGATATCACCTGTATCACCTGTCGTCCCGTTGATCGTCGATTTCTTCTTGCGGCGCTAGTAGCGTCTCCACTTGTCCCTGTCGCGAGCCAGAGTAGTCCAATGAATCGCTCCAAGGACACGAGGATCAACATTCCTTTCGTTCACAGCTTTCGTGAAGAAGTCTGACCATCTCGTTGGCGGCTGTCCTGGAGTTAGTTTGATGTTCCGTGGGATCCAGTCAGTAACCGCCCTGGTCCAACGTTCATTACTATATCGCATAATGTGTCCGGCCAACCTGAACTTTCCTGGCGTAGACAACGGCATCCCTGATCTTCGTTCGTTGACGGAGTTTGGAACTCCGGATTTCCTTCTGCACTTGCGTGTACAGGGAACTTCCGAGCATCGTCCTCTCCAAAGCGCGATGAGCAACGCTGAAAGCACGGTCATCCTGCTTTCGTAGAGTCCAAGTCTCTGATGCGTAGGTCAAAGCAGGAAGAACAGCAGTGTCGAAAAGGTGAACGCGAAGGCAGACGTTCTTTGTCTTCTTCACTACTCCCTCGATATTCTTAAATGCTCCCCACGCGGCGCGTTTCCTTCTGCACAGCTCTGGAGCTAGATCGTCCATCATGTTGACTTCCCGACCTTGATACACATAGCTGGAGCATTCGGAGACATTCGTTCCGTTTAACGTGAAAGGAGCATCAGGTACCAGTCCGTTTTTCATGAACATCGTCTTCGTTAGGTTCAGCCTCAAGCTGATCTTTCCACAAGCATTGTCAAACTCGGCCGGCATTCGCTCCTCCTGCTCGATGTTCGGTGTTATGAGTAGGATGTCGTCTGCAAAGCGGAGGTGATGTAGATAGCCGCCGTCGAATTGTGAAATTCTGGTTGTAAAGCTGTCGTAGAGCTCACAAAGCATCCTTGTATATTGCGTAGGAACACCCTGGTTGCCCAGGGCTTCAATTACCGCTTCTGTCTCAACGCTGTCAAAGACTTTCTTCAAGTCGATAAACGTAAGGCATAGCGGCATTTTGTACTCTCGCGATACTTCAATGAGCCTTGTTAGGGTGTGGATATGGTCGATTGTGGTGAACCCTCTCCAAAACCCTGCTTGCTCGCATGGCTGTCCTTCATCTAATGATCTGCCAATCCTGTTTAGGATGACACGAGTGAAAAGCTTGTAGATTACGGACAGCAGGCAAATTGGGCTATAATTGTCAATATCCTCCGGATCTCGCATTTTCTACAGCAACAGTCTTGCTAACTTTCCACGACGTGGGCACTTTGCATTCCGAAAGGTACCGTGTGAAGAGCCTAGCCAGAGTTCTGACGATAACTGGTGGAAGACTTTCAGATGTTCCGGTTTAATCCTATCGGGACCGGGCGCCGCACAGTTCTTCATCGACGTGATGACATGTCGTATTTCGGAAGGGAGAACCGAAGAAGCGCTATATTTGTCTTGCCTAAGATGGTGGGTGGGCAGGTAGACGTGGCTGTAGAATAGATCCGAGTAGGAGTCGTAAATGACCTTCTTCATTACCCTTTGAGATGCAGTAACCGTTCCGTCAGAACGACGATGGGAAGTCATCTTAGCCTTGCAATTGGCGAAGCTACGTCGGGCCTGCGAATGCTCTCTCCAGCCTCGGCGGCTTCGACCATAACTGCTGCTCTTCGCTTTTTCAGATCTTCCTTTATCGCTAGAGCCCCTTCCCTGCATAGCTTCGCGAGTTCGGACGTTTGTTTGTGATTGCCTGTAGTTCGCGCAACTCCACGCTGGCGCATCAGCTCGAGAGTCTTCAAAGAAAGTCGTCTCTTGGCCTTTTGTAGATTCTCTGCTTTCCTAGCGCTATCGCGTGGGTGCTCGACGAGCCGGTAGTATTCTTCGTCGATGTTGTCGATAAGGAAATCTTCCCTTTTACTCGCAAGGGAAGCGAAGGGGTCCCAGTTGATGGAGGGCTTCGTTTCCCCAACTTCATAGCTCTCTCTCCACGCACTGGGAGGCAGAATCTAGCGTAAAGGAGACGATGGTTCGATCCCGTGTAGAATTTCGGAACAACAGCGACATCAGTCAAGCAAAACCTACGATTGAAGATGATGTGGTCTATTCGTTATGGATCTGTCCGCGAGGTGACTCCCATGTCCCAATGAGAGGGCTCCTGAAATTGTGAGTTACCATGGATGGTGTGGGTCGACATGATAAACTCAGACAACCTTTCACCCTGCTCATTCCATTCTATTCCGTGAGTCCCGATGTGGAGCTCTTCAGCCGTCCTTCTGGGGCTAGGGTCTTGTCGTTAGAGTCACCAACGATGACCCTGAAGAAAGTACGGTCTTCTCTGTAGAGCCTCTCCAGATCCATGTAAAACGCTCCAACTCCTCTCCTTCGTAGCTTGATGTTGGTACGTAGGCACGAAGATGGTTAGCGCTGGGGTCGAGCTACATCTTCTTAATCGCAAACGTCATGGGGTGTTAAGCTTTCGTACGAATCGATCTTCATGGCCAAGTGCGTAATGACGAGGACACCTGCCACCGACGCCTCTGTTGTCGCATGCTCCCAGGAACAGTTCTTCTCCAGCCTCGAATACACCGTGCAGTGGGCGATGCCTTCTCGTCTCAGTCAGTCCGATGACTCGTACTTGATCTTTCTAGTTTGCATTACCAGGTCTTCTATACCCGCTTACGATGCAAGCGTCCATGCGTTAAAAGTATAGATCGCCATCTTAGTCCTTCTCCTTTGGGCTTCCTGTTTTGGCCCCGAATTTTTAGCAGCCTCTCCCGAGCGGTCCTACCCAACGCTGCCGTATTGGGGGCTCCCTCAGGTTCAGGGGAATGAGGCCCATTTCTATTACAGTTTCTGACGTGTAGATATCCAACGTGCAGCTTGCCAGGCTCTGACGTGGGGGCTGGGTTGACTTCGGATGCTTGCCAGGCTATCCTGAAGTGGAGGAGGGGTTTGTTTTTGGAGGCGGCCCCGAATCCCCTCCCAATGAGAGATATGTTGAGAAGAAAGATACGATGATCAGTATCGTTATAACATAAGTGCAACACTGAATCTTTTGATGATTCTGTAGACAACATTTGACCAGAAGGGATGAGTTGTCATCAAGGAGTTAACCTTGTTTGTCAAATGTTTGATAACAAATCATCATATCATTTTGATAAAAATCATGGAAGATAAAGGATTGAGCCTTTGGACAGTGATCAATCCCATCTGAGGAATATGTATGTGGCCTATACAATAGCCGATGGACAGCCGATGTAAAAGCCAGTGCTTTCATACTCCCATACGAGTCCGCCACCAGAAAAACAACTCCGGAGGAATGGAAAGCTCGGCTGGCTCGGGCAGATATCGATCCGGGGTTAGAATCCGTGTCCATAGTGTGTGATGGTGCTCCATTTGCCACCACACCACCTCCGCACCTGAATGAAAGATTAAATAGCTCAATTATTTTGTATGTGGTGTTCAGCTACTTCACCATTGCCTAGTTATCACGTAAAGAGAAGTAGCTGCCTAGAGTAGAGTTTCCCTATAGCCATTGCCCACATGATAACAGGCTGATAATAGGATATATCACTTGTTTTTCTCTACACTTGCATGTTGGATAAGTTATGGTGTTTGTTGAGTTTATCATCCAAGAATAGGTTCATTTTCCGAGCTTTACCCGTTAGCGAACAGCAGATTGCTTTGAAGCAAATCTTGGGCGTTAGCTTAACGAGAGGTATTCGCCTTTCTTTTCGTTCTTAGCTCAGTTGACAAGACTGTATAAAACGGCGTAAAAACTTGGCAAAGTAGTATATTCTGCTCAAGCGGCAATAGAGACAGATGAGTTATGTAGCTGCGCCAAAACCCTCTCAGTAGACATCATGAGGAAAATTTGGTCTCATAATCGATTGTATCACCGATCCTCTTGCCAGAGAATGCGACAGTGATATCTTTATTTGTCCGCTGGTGTTTAGTGGAACCCCTTCTAGCCAAGGCTTCAGACTCTGTGTTTCGCAATGCACATGAATGAACACATGACTCCTTAAAACTTTCCCAGACACCACAAAAGACAGTCCAAATGTGGGTACTGGTGAGAGAGGCCATGACTATAAAAGGCAAAACTTCGAAAATAGCTTGAGAAACGGTCTGTTATGTCACTGTTGGTTCAACTGTTGCTCATTTGGGATTATTTTGAGGTCCAACCACCGACATGGCACTTCCCACAAGCTGGGTCATGCTTCGGAAACATCTCACTACTAGCACCCCCTTCGATGAATGCCTGAGAATACCTTATATGGTGTATAGTGCTAAAGATCATAGCCGACATTGGATCCATTTCAGTACCGAAGTGAAAATGATCACATTGATGTATCTTCTATCTGTATTTGGACTACTTTCATCATGCATACGAGCTGAGTATCATTATCGAAACGCTGATGGATATCAAGATTCATTTGAAGAGCGCATCTTCCGCCCAGCAGTGAGTCAAGAGAATTCAGTTAGAGCCTAACAACCAATTCACGCCATTCACGTGGGAGTTAGAAGTTCGTTGGTATAACGTAATGTTCATGGTTTTGATGGATCACTTAACTCCAAAGGGCATCTTGCACCATAACGGAGTCGCAGAGGCATGCATATAGTCGAAATGAATCGCTGTCCTGTTAAGGTTCAATATTGATGGAACCAACCATAGTGACTACAATAGTATTAGTCTGACTACAGTAGTCTTAGTATTTTCAGTATCCACGCAGCTCTAGCTACTCTAATCGCCGCTATCCTTTTCGAAGTCGACGCGATCACGGTAACGACTACATCTTCGGTATCAGTAGTAGTGTTGTTACTTTTTGAACTGCCTTGAAAAGTTTTTTTATTAATTACATCTCAAAGTACACAGAAACAGTACAATTTATCTCTAGCTCATAACAACTTGTAGAACAAGGTGACTGCAATAGCTGCAAGCAACTTGAAGATGCTTGTTCTACTTACGAGGATCATGTTGAATGTCACAAGCCGAGTGTAGTGTGAGTATGGAAATTTTCAAAATTTTGGGAACATTTGCGTAACAGTGGTGACTATGCTGACAATAATTTTCATCGTTTCCTCTACCTGAAGATCTGACGAGCATCGCTCAGCAAAGAACATAATCACCATTCATAAGGCAGCTAGTTGATGATTTGGTTTCTGACGATCCCGTCATTGTTCATGGGTGGTCAAAATATATGTGGAGCCAATAACGATCGCAGTCGCCCTGTCAGCATCATCATTGAAAAGTTCGGAACACGCGATTAGAACCAGAGTTGTGGGCAAATCCTTAGTGGCCTGATATCCCAGCTTTTAACGGTTGAACCACAGGCTCGCATTGTTTTTTTTTCATGGTGATCTATACGGATAACAGTGGCAGTGACTGATTGGACTTGAAATCTTCATCACAATGACAAGACTTCCAAAGACAGTTTTTAGGATTACACAGCGACAAACACCCCTTGCGTACTGAAGACTTCCTGAAGAATCAGGCTCGCTTCATTTAGTTATCGACCGCGCTGCAATCCATTCGACCACCAGATCTTGGGACTTTGATGAATGATGGATACCTAAAGGTATCAGCTGGGTGATCGGCTAGAAGACAGCAGATTTTCAGGCTCAATTTGCTCTTGCAAATTTCGGTTTCTCCTCTTTTCCACGACGTTCCCTGCATCGTACCACAACTGAAGCTAAGATTTCTGCCAGCCAGATTCACCCTTTGATGGAAATTTCAGCTTTGGTGTTGTGAAGCACTCAACAAGGCGAAGCTTCGCCAACAAAAGGCACTGTTTCTCATGCAGGTTTCCAAGTAGCTATCCCCTACTGCTTCTTATTCTAGTGAATTGAACAGGGTTGCTGTGCCTATTTGTCAACGTCTTCAGTCACCTACACGATGAGTAGTATTTTCAAGCGATTGGGAGTGATAGCGCGATATAGAAAGATCATTGTATGATACGTTGGGTGTACGAGAAGAAT